GAATGTAATTTATACTGAGACAGTATATCATAAATAAAAAGAGGTTTGAGTCCCCTTTAAAGTTAAGGTAAAGTCAATTAACTGACTTTTTTCTGACTTAAGATTTCTTAGTTAAAAACATGGGTTGCAGCTCTTAATTTTGAACTCTCAAAGTGCATTAGATAGAATCATTTAACTTTAAAATGTACTAAATTTAAATTTTTTCCAATTCTTCATTTGTCTTTTTTTTTTTTAAATATCGTATCGTGGACTTCATGCCGCGATATTATCGTATCGTAAGATTTTGATATCGTTACATCCCTAATAACAAGTTATGGAGTGTTTTACCATAAGATAAAGAGAGTGGAAAGAAATGATGTAGGAAGATGGAGGAATGGGAACACGAAATCGAACATACTGGGGCAAAAGTTCAGACCTAAAACAGCTTTGACTTCACCTCCAAGTCCTGCTCGTGTCTGGTGGTGTTCATCTGTGTGCAGCTCAGCTTGTGTAGCTGCTGTTGGGAGCTGTTGAGCTCTCTGTATAAGTCTTTCTCACTCATTTCTGCCACCTTCGTCCGCTTACTGAGCGCTCTGATCACCTCGTTACGCTTCTCCAGCTCATCTAAGAAAACATGAGCAGTCATGAGCAATACATTACCATTCAGGTTTGGGATCAGTAAAACATTAATCAGCAGGTATACATAATTGACTGTAAAATAGAAAATATAAATAGAAAATATAGATAAAAACTTTCACAAAAAATATAAAGTTGTACAACTGCTTGCAACATTGATAATAATCAGAAATGTTTCTTGAGCAGCAAATCAGCATATTAGAATGATTTCTGAAGAATCATGTGACACTGTAGACTGGAGGAATGATGCTGAAAATTCAGCTTTGCATCACAGGAATAAATTACATTTTACGATATATTCAGATAGAAAACAGTTATTTGAAATTATAATAATATTTTACAAAATGTACTGTATTTTTGATCAAATAAATGCGGCCTTGGTGAGCAGAAGAGACTGTAGCTCTAATTACTTTTAGATTCAAGGAAAACTGAATTTCCAGCAGCTTTGAATCAGAAGAGTTCACGGCTCAAAATGTTCCAGTTCATTTCTTTAAACGTATTTATTTATTGAAACAAAGGTGTAAAAGTAGAGCCATGTTTTGAAACTTCAACAGTACATAACAGTGCTTACATTTAAGGGGGAATATAGAATTCTTAAAAGTATAGTAGCAAAAACAACCTAATTCTACAGGACAGAAAAAGAGTGGAAATGGTAGTTTTAAACTAAATTATAGTGTTTTGGTTTTGGTACAACTTGCAGTGCAACTGGAGCAGCGCTATTAGTATTTTCATTATACTATTCTATTCTATTATACTATTACTATACTATTGAATTAGCTTTTATTTCTATATTTTCAGTTTTCATTTTAGTTAAGCATATTAAGTTTAAATTAAAGTAATTTTGTTATATGTTTTTGAGATTTACAATTTAAATTTATTTTTATTTCAGTTTTAGATTTATTTCCAGTTAGTAATGGTAGTGCTTCAACTTAAACTTCTTTTAGTTATTTTTTCCTGATAAGGTCAGTTTTATTTTAATGAACAAAAATGCTTTTAATAGTGTCAGTTTGATTTTAGTTAACCCTGCTCTGGAGTCACTCTCACCCTCCAGTCGGGCACATCTCTGTTCCAGGATCAGCACTCTCTGACGGTCCTGCTCCCAGGAGAGCAGCTGCTTGTGATGGGCTGCTGCCATAGTGTTGAGCTCCTGGTCACGGTCCTTCAGTTCTGCTATGAGAAGCTGCAGCTCCAGACGCTGCCTCTGAATAGTGGAGACCTCCAATCCATTAACTGGGATCTAGTAACATTCCAGAAACGGGCCAATACTTAGTTAGCAAAAACACAAAGTCATCCAAGAGTTACCATGGCATTCACAGTTTTAAAGGAATAGCTAAACCAAAAATCAAAATTAGCTGAAAATGGATTCCAAACACGCAGTTAGCACATCAGAATGATTTCTGAAGAATCATGTGACACTGTAGACTGGAGGAATGATGCTGAAAATTCAGCTTTGCATCACAGGAATAAATTACATTTTACGATATATTCAGATAGAAAACAGTTATTTGAAATTATAATAATATTTTACAAAATGTACTGTATTTTTGATCAAATAAATGCGGCCTTGGTGAGCAGAAGAGACTGTAGCTCTAATTACTTTTAGATTCAAGGAAAACTGAATTTCCAGCAGCTTTGAATCAGAAGAGTTCACGGCTCAAAATGTTCCAGTTCATTTCTTTAAACGTATTTATTTATTGAAACAAAGGTGTAAAAGTAGAGCCATGTTTTGAAACTTCAACAGTACATAACAGTGCTTACATTTAAGGGGGAATATAGAATTCTTAAAAGTATAGTAGCAAAAACAACCTAATTCTACAGGACAGAAAAAGAGTGGAAATGGTAGTTTTAAACTAAATTATAGTGTTTTGGTTTTGGTACAACTTGCAGTGCAACTGGAGCAGCGCTATTAGTATTTTCATTATACTATTCTATTCTATTATACTATTACTATACTATTGAATTAGCTTTTATTTCTATATTTTCAGTTTTCATTTTAGTTAAGCATATTAAGTTTAAATTAAAGTAATTTTGTTATATGTTTTTGAGATTTACAATTTAAATTTATTTTTATTTCAGTTTTAGATTTATTTCCAGTTAGTAATGGTAGTGCTTCAACTTAAACTTCTTTTAGTTATTTTTTCCTGATAAGGTCAGTTTTATTTTAATGAACAAAAATGCTTTTAATAGTGTCAGTTTGATTTTAGTTAACCCTGCTCTGGAGTCACTCTCACCCTCCAGTCGGGCACATCTCTGTTCCAGGATCAGCACTCTCTGACGGTCCTGCTCCCAGGAGAGCAGCTGCTTGTGATGGGCTGCTGCCATAGTGTTGAGCTCCTGGTCACGGTCCTTCAGTTCTGCTATGAGAAGCTGCAGCTCCAGACGCTGCCTCTGAATAGTGGAGACCTCCAATCCATTAACTGGGATCTAGTAACATTCCAGAAACGGGCCAATACTTAGTTAGCAAAAACACAAAGTCATCCAAGAGTTACCATGGCATTCACAGTTTTAAAGGAATAGCTAAACCAAAAATCAAAATTAGCTGAAAATGGATTCCAAACACGCAGTTTTTTGCTTCACAAGATGTTAATTGATGCACTGGAGTGGTGTGGGTTACTTGTTTACTTGACTCTCATTCTGACGGCACCCATTCACCGCATAGCATCCATTGGTAATGCTAAATTTCTCCAAACCTGTTACCATGAAGAAACAAACCTACATCTTGAACGGCCTGAGAGTGAATTTTCGGCAGATTTTCATTTTGAACTATTCCTTCAAAATACAATTTTATTCTGGAAAACTGGGAATTATAAAGCAAAAAGCAGCAAACCAGATTTTGGAAATCAGTTCAAGCCACTTCAAAAACGTGCTACCTGGAAATCCTGTGTTAATGAGAAAGAGGACATTGGTTTTGAGAGGTCGTGTAGACTCAGTCTTGCAGGCCTTGTTCTGTCTTCATCTCTGAGTTTGGTGGAGGAAACATCTGGCGCCTCATTAGCAGCAAAAAGATTCTGAAGGATTGAGTATCATTAACTCAGAATCAAATCTTTTATTCACCAATAAGTGTTAAGTTCAATTTGAAATAACTGCTCGACCTAAAAACAAGATTACAATAAATACAAAGGAACATGAACACATCACAATACAGATACAATCAACAATGTGCCATATATAAACTATGCAAACAGAAGTGCAACACAATACACATTCAAAGTGTAATAAGTATTCAATATGTTTAAATAGAAAATGTAAGATTTATAATAAAAGTGGAGAGAAAACATTACTTTTTAGTTATTTTGAATGATTATTTTTAAAAAGATTAGCCATCAGTCAGAATTCTCTCACTAGACATCTGATTTCCACATTTTAGGACCATCATAAATTCATCGTAAGTATGAAATAGCACAAATGGACTAAAAATGTCTACCAAATAAATACTATAATATTATTTTTAGCTTCTTCAAAGTTAGCATGCAATTTATTCCAGCTCTGTACACTCTCTCAACCAACCTCATGAGTTGCATCCTGAGATGCTTTTAAATAGTATTGAATGAGTCCCTATGCATGATGGCTCTTCACTATCCATTAATGACCGATACTTTACATAAAACAATTTAAAAAACAACCAACCAACCTTTTTTACAGGAGTACTGTGCCAGGGCTCCACTGGAGATCCTGTAAGTTAATTAATTAATGCAAAGAATAATCATCATGTTTTAGATTTGAGGGGTTTCTAATATTCCTTCATGTTTACACGAGGTTTATCACCTTTTGACATCGAAAAACTTCCAAGAGTTTTAGAGTTTCTTCTTTCCTTGAACCCCTCCATCACATCTCGCATTGGACAAACACTGACAGACAAATGTCTGAACTAGCAGACAAGACTTAGTATTGCTTCTAACTTCACTTTAAATTAACAAAACAGCAGCGTCAACACCATAGCGATGCACAATATCAATATCTTGTTATCGGTGTCTGATTATGACACAAAGTTGAGTTTGATTGTTTTTAAAGATGCATTATTTAAGTGTAAACAAGACACTCGGGATTTAAAAAAACAACAATAAATGCAATATAAACAGCCTAACTCCTAATCCAAAACAGTGTTAAATGTAAAAAAAAAAATTGCAATTAAAAAATTGAATTCAGAATCACTGTGAAATGTATGTGACAAGAAGCGGGTGATTATTTTCGGAATTCTCAAACGGCATGTTATGATCCGCGCTTAACGGAGCTGTCCAACGAGATGCCTGGTTTAAACATACGTTCAAAATTCTGTTTATACATATGCTTTTCATTCAATTACATAAAATGTCTTATATAAAAATCGTATTACACATGTTGAAATTATTCATTTAGTTTTACCCGAAAATATTTCATCACGAAGTGCTTACGTAATACGGCAAATGGCGCGAACTACGTTGTTGCTCTGCCTCAGAGAGGCGTTGTCAGGACCCTAAAAGCCAAATCAGACAGTGAAGGTGTGCTGAGTAACAGTGGAACTCTTTCACCCTTTAAGGAACATCCGCACGAGTTAATTTAATAATGCTCAAGGTGTTACTCAAAAGCAAGTTGAATTGAGATTATATCGACGGGGTATGTATGCGCTTGAGCGCGTAGCTGCTGCAGGAGAGCTGTGATTAGCAGTGCTGGCTAATGAATGGGTGCTCAATGGAGTGCATGGATGATCCTTGTGCGGAGGCTTCTAGATTCAAGTCACTGTCAGTGACTCTAAAAGAGTTTTAAACTATATTTGAATGCATTTATTAGTGTAATAAGAAGAGCCTTTGATCAGATCCAATGCATTTGATCATATTGTGTTGGTTAGTATCTCTAAAGCACCACTAGGGTGTTGCTGGCATTTGACAATTTATGTGTTTACATGTACTTAAAAGCATCTTTTGTGATTTATTAACCAAAATAGTACGTTTTGGGAGTCTAATTAATTTAAAACGATTATTTAATCTTACGCAAGGTTGATAAATCGTGCTGAAGTGACATGTGGAAGGTCTCTCTCATGTCAGAAGGGCCTTTTGCAATTAGACGGATAAATCGTTGGCTATATTTAACTTTCAGCCCAACTATTTATGCCTGATGTGTGGTTCGTTATATCTGTTATAGATTATGAGTATAACCATTTTCAGACAGACCACATTTCTGTATGCATTATGAAGGCACCATATTGGTTTTGCAGTTTTTGCAAACTAGGTTTTTGTGAATAATATCTTGCAAATGCACATTTGAGCTTAGAATTCAAGTGTTGGTCTCTGTGCATCAGCTGGTTGTGTTATGTTGTCAGTCTAAAATAAGCCTTCTGTATGATTTGTGTAGATTCATGTAATATGGCTACTACTGAGAATGCAGAGTCGGGGTTACCAGAAAATAAAGTGGATCGGGCTGACCCAGATGCAAAATACCCACTAAAAGTTCTCTATTGTGGAGGTGAGAAAATGCAAAAAATAAAAAAAGAGAATGCACTGCCAATGCTAACGGTCTGTGATATATTAATTAAATAAAAAAAGTAATTACAATTTTATTGACTTAATAATTCTGGTTCGCAGTCATGTAATCCTAACATTTCTCTCCTCTTTTACTTACAGTGTGTTCTCTGCCAGTAGAGGTGAGTACATCGCATGTTAAAGGAACAGCTCACCCAAAAATGGAAATTTGCTGAAAATGTACTCTCCCTCATGCCATCCAAGGTGTAGATGAGTTTGTTTGTTCATGGGAACAGATTTGGAGGAATTTAGTATTAGATCACTAGCTCACCAATGGATGCTCTGCAGTGAATGGGTGCCGTCAGAATGAGAGTCCAAACAGCTGATTAAAAATATCACAATAATCCACACCACTCCAGTCCATCAGTTAATGTCTTGTGAAGCGAAAAACTATGTCTTTGTTATAAACAGACCCACCATAAAGGCCTTTTTAACTTTAAACCATTGCTTCCGGCTCAAATACAAGTCAGTAATTAATAATTGCTTTCTTCATTGGAAAAGTCATCCAGTCTGAATCAGGAGAGAAATATGCACAAATAAGCAACATCTACAGGCAAAAACAGTTCTAAACATAGTGTATCTCAGTGTATTTTGATGTGAGTGCAGTGAATGCACTTTTTCAGTGGAGGAATCGTTATTATGGACTAAAATTTTGGCCAGAAGCAATGATTTAAATTTAGAACATCTTGATGGATGGATGGATGGAGTGGTGTGGATTATTGTGATGTTTTTATCAGCTGTTTGGACTCTCATTCTGACGGCACCCATTCACTGCAGAGCATCCATTGGTGAACAAGTGATGTAATGCTACATTTCTCCAAATCAGTTCTGATGAACAAACAAACTCATCTACATCTTGGATGGCCTGAGGGTGAGCACATCTTCATTTTTGTGTGAAATATTCCTTTAAAAATGATCACACATTCTGTTGGTAGAAATCAAATGAATAAAATACTTCTGCTTTGCTCTGCTAGTACTGCGAGTACATGCCTGAGCCGGCCAAATGCAAACAGTGGCTTGAGAAGAACTTTCCTGATGTGTTTGCTAAACTGACTCTTGGTGAGTAGATTTTCTTTCACAGCAACTTTTAAAATGTCACCAAATCATATTAAGTCTTAAAAAGTGCTTTTTCTTACCATTTTAGCTTGCTTGGTTACCATTTTATTTATGCCTCCATAGTTTTGACTCTTGCAGGATTGTTTGATCTCTGAGAGTCTTTTTCATATTTGACACTGAGACAAAGAATATTTGGTCAGCACCATTATGACATGCACTGCTGTATCAGTTAGTAGTTTTCTCACTGATGTCACTGCTGTTGTGTAAGTACAGCACCCAAGAAGGAAACAACAGGAGGAGGAGGAGGAGGAGGAGGTGGTGGCGGTGGAGAGGCACCCCCTGTGGGAGAGGAAGAGGAGAAGAAGAAACAGAAGAGAGGTTAAACATTTTTCTTTTATATTTAACTTCTATAAACAAATGATTTGGCGTGGCGGAGCAGTGGAAGTGCATATCGCACATTACACACCACATCCAACACTTTTTTTTGAATGTCTTAAAGGGTAAGTTCACAGATTTTCAACCAGCTTTGTATTGTTACAATGTTCCAAGATATGTTTATTCATCAGCAAAAGTTCGCCAGATGACAAAACGCATCATACAGCGAACATACTTTTGACAGTGCCAGGGCTTTTGTGAAAACTACAGATAGTACTTCCACCTTTTTTAATCACCACTAATGTTTAGTCTGATTGAGCCCCCAGTGCATTATGGGTGTTAAAGGTTTCTTACCTTTTTTCACTACAGCCCTTTTTTTCTCTCTTTTCTATCATGTAGCACTGATTTTTTTTTAAATTGCATGGACAGACAACTTTTATTAAAACCCCATCTTGCAAGTGGTAAATTACCCCTATATCTGTCCAATGAAAACATTTGAAATTAAATTATAGCTAAAGGAGAGTTTATTTTGGCTTTATGTCCCTGGTTATTAATATGAGGTTCAATAACAGGCTAATTTAATTCCTTTAATTTTTGTTAAGATCAATTTAAACCATCAGTGTTATTTTAGTATTATTTATATATTAATATAATTTTTATTAATATTTTCAATTAGGTATTTGTTATACTTGTATTTTAAGGCCATGAAAATAGCCTTTGATGCTGACATGGCATTAAATAAATATAGAAAATCATTTACTCACCCACATATCGTTCCGTCTATATATTTATTTCTTCTGAAAACACAAAAAATATTTTAATGAATATCCAGTTGGGTAAATTCAATACAATGTCAGTGTGATTTTTTTTGTCTGACAATTTTGACTTACATTACAGTTTCATTATCCGTGCGGCTTGCTGATCATTTTCCAAATGCTCCAGTCAGTTTGGGTGAAAATCAACCTGATAGTTACACCATACCACAATAAAATCCCTCTCCTGCGCTTCAGTCCTTACTCCAGTCCAGTAGGTGGTGGAAATGCATCTTTTATGTTTGACATCTGCCATTAAAATGCCAGAAAAAAATAATTTCTACAAATGTATTTCTACAAAAATATATCTATTCAAAAGTTAAAATGCATCCTGAATCAAAGTTCTAACACATACAATCTGCAAATATAGCTCTTCTACTCCTCCAATGCCATGAGCTGAAGGTTGTGTACAGCGGCAGTTCAAAGACCCCTGCTGATTTGATTCATCCCTACACTCCTGCTCGGTCTGACGGACCCTCTGGTGCCAATTTATTCACTATGTTCTCCATGGGGAGCAAGTCCTTCAGAGCAATGGCCCCTAGATGCTAGAACTCTCCCCCTGCATCCCCACCTTTACAAGTTAACAGAAAGCATAGATATTAAAATGTCCTGATTAAAAATTGTTGCCTAATTTTGTTGTACTTGTTTCTTCTGCTTTTTTTTCTTGGATCTCGAATATCTCTGTCATTTACTTTCTGTTCTAGATGTTGTGAAGCTTATTTGGGTTTGTGAAAAGCATTTTATGTATGTACATTATCATAATTATTAATAAATTATTTAGTACAATCAAACCCGATATGAGAGAACAGTTGGTGTCAGTTGTATAGAAAAAGATTCTGTTGAATGCTTTTACATGCATTTGCTTATTTAAAAAAACAAATAAAAAAAATCAAAAGAACTAAACGTATATTTTGCAGGAATAAAAATAAGATTTTTATTTGCACTGACATTTTCATGACAATAATGTCAGTGATGGCCCCAACAAATTTCAGTAGCATATTATAATGTGAAAATGTTTTGTCCTCATTAGTATAAAATAAAAAATATTATTTAAATGAATATAAAAATATTAAAAGAACAAATCAAAAGAACAAAATATTTAGCAGGGAAAAAGGTACATTTGTAAAGAACAATTGTGTAAACATGATAGCATTGTTCTTAATTTTATATCAGCTTGTTTTATACAATTTAAAAAATGTTTTCAATTGAGCAAAAAAATTAAAATAAATATTTTTCTTTTTAAGCAACATATATTTTGGATTAAAATATAACATGAACAGTTCTTTTGTGAGATTCACATTATACCAACAAAACATGCAAAATCATGTTCAACAAAAACAAAAAGTTCTCTGTTAATTGTATTGTTCACTTTTTCATTGTTTGCTTGTATGCCCAAGTGTAAAATATCCTTCCTGTAATCATTTTAATGGTGCTTTTGGAGAGTCCCAAGTTACAGAGCAATATGATTATTAAATTCACATGAGACGCAAATGCCTTCCGAGACCATTTACCCATCACACCTGGGTTTATTGTTGTCCATGTGCATGCTTACAGCTACACTGTTTGCATGTGAGCAAACATCTTAAGAACAAGTCTCGTGGGAATCATTGGCGTATGAGTCGAAACAGTGAAAAGATCTGAAGTTCTCTGACTTTTGTCTAGTTTCACAGCAGCACCATAATCATGAACAACTCCTCAATGTGCTGCACTTACGAAACGCCCATGCTGGACCAATACCTCCCCCCTGTAATGTTCACAGAGTTCGTATTGGGCCTTATGGGGAACGTTCTTGCCCTTTCAATGTTCTTCTTCCACAGGGACACCTGGAAGCCCAATTCTATTTATCTTGCCCATCTAGCTCTGGCGGACTCATTGGTCCTTTTCTGCCTTCCTTTCAGGGCCGACTACTACCGCAGGGGCAAGGACTGGGTCTACGGAGATGCTTTCTGCCGTATTTTGCTCTTTCTTTTGGCCGCCAACAGAGCCGGCGGTATATTCTTCCTCACCGCTGTCGCTGTGGACCGATACCTGAAGATCGTCCACCCTCTCAACCGCATCAACCGAATGGGTCTGCGTTATGCCCTGTGGGTCTCTGCTGGCCTTTGGGTTCTCATCATAGCCATGACTGTCTACCTCCTAACAGATGAACATTTCTACTATCTAAACAACCACACGCAGTGCGAGAGCTTCAACATCTGCTTTGGGAGTAATTCACGGTTCAACTGGCACAATGTATTCTACGTTCTCCAGTTCTTTGTGCCCACGGCCATTGTCATCTACTGCACAACCTGCATAACGTGGCAGTTGAAGAGTAAGACAGTGGACACACAGGGCAAAATCAAAAGAGCCGTGCAGTTCATCTTAGCAGTGGCTGCGGTTTTCATTATATGTTTCTTCCCGAGCAACATTTCGCGTATCGCCATGTACGTCCTGAAACTCTGGTATAACGAGTGCCACTATTTCAGTGAGGCAAATGATGCGTTTAAAACCAGTGTCTGCTTTACCTACTTCAACAGCGTGCTCAATCCCATCGTCTATTACTTCTCAAGCCCTGCCTTCAGTGGATCCTTCAGGAGAATCTACATGAGACTTCTGGGAAAGAAAATTGAGGAATAATTATAATTATGTGACAACATTCAGGTACACACTGGCCCTGTCCCAAATGCTTTCCTAAGCTCTTGCAGGTCCTCAAAGAGTTCATAGTTGGGTAACATCAAGTGTGCTTGGCAAAAGTGCATTCAAACGAGACACTGGTGAGCACATTACTGAAGCCTGAACTCACTGAATTAGATACTCTATAATCACAGACTTAACAGACAATCACACACAACAGTGCATTTAAAGGGTGCATTTAAAGTGGGATATTTATTCATTTAAATGTAAATGATATATTATATATTCATGTAACCTTCAAAAACTGTATTGACAAACAATGGTATACATTTCCCATTTAGTGATATTCTGTGCCTTTATTTAAACCGTTGAGTTATATTTAAACATATTTTTTGCTGTCTATTTGGAATAGTGATTTGCTACTGCTTATTCAATGCTCCATAAATCCGATTAGTATTTTGTGTATTTGTGTAATTTTGTATTAGTATTTTGTCTTTTTGGTGCAGCAAATAAACATTTTTGCAATAATCTCTCTGAGATTATGACTAAATGAAGACATATTCTGCTGCATGGGCAAAATAAATCAATAAAGCATTTAATACATTACTTCAATAGTTCTTTTGGTTTTCCTTTGTGCTTATTTTATCCGATGGATGTAATGTTTTAAAACTTTGGCATGAATGACATGGCTTTTGAAGATGTGTCTGTCATTTGTCTTTGTTTTTTTGCATTTGTTATTGTTTAGCTTAATGCTGTTGGTCAGTTTGAGTTACAAACCTCAAATTTCACACACACACACACACACACACTGCTGTGCATGATGAACAAATCTACTGCTTGCATTTATCATGTTTTCTTTTTTGAATTATAGTAAATAAATAAAGATTCCTCTCATGAACTTCTCAAGCAGTTGAAATCTGGAATGAAATTTGGTGTAAATCATCTTTCGACAAATATCTAACAAAACTGTGAAGAAAAAGTTACAAACATTTGCAGACTAAAAAAAATACTGTGTATGTTGTACAATATTGAAATTTAATAGACCGACTTTACTGAAATTTCCAAGACTGTTCTGATCTCATGAAGATCATTAAGGATCAGCCTCCTATGCACACTTAATGTATCTCCACAAGGTTTTTTGCAGTTTAAATGTTTGTGTGTCTTACCCCTAAAATCCAGAAGAGGGAATGTCACAGATTTTAAGCTTTGAAATGATGAGAGCAGGTGGATGCTATATGGTAATCATTACAGTTATGCCATTATCAATAGATGTTATAGATGTAGCAGATAACAGAATAGAGAATCTGTTTCAGAGAAAAACTCAGACGTGAATAAAAGTACATAGAGAAATATAGAGAATACAATCCTGATTCCAAATCTTGATGTAAATGTTGTAAACTGCACTTAATTTCCTACATGTTTCTGTTCTTCTGCTCTGAACCTGCAGTGCCGCTTACATTTTTAATATGCATTTTCGATATTGTGCCTATTTTTTGGATCCATTTTGATTCATTGTGTTATGTGTTGCATATGGTGCTTATTAAATATATCACTTTCTTTTCTTTTTAAAAAATGCACTTGCAAAAATGCCATTCGAGTTACTTAATTATTTTGTTGTATGGGAAATTAAAAATGTATATGGTCTAAAGAAAATACAAACATATATACTTTCCTTACATATATATGTTCCTTACATGAGAACAGTAGCCTAGCCAGCTGGATACACAGCCAGTGAAGAACAGCTGTAGCACGAGGCTGACATCAGAGGCCACTGCTGCTGCTCAACCTGATGGAAACAAGTGGATGAGAGAACAGACGCCGTCCCCTTACAAAAGGATATGAAAAACATGAACAGATCACAAATGATTATTAAATCTATAAGAGGCACAAATCCCCCTTGAGGCCATTTACCAACCACACCTGGGTCTGTTGTCCATGTGGATCCTTAAAGCTACGCCCTTTGCGTGTGAGCAAACCAGTGATGTTATGAGGATGCCACCTGGGGGTGGTCATTTGGATATGTGGGGTGGACAACAAAAGTCAATATGAAAAGATATATATATATATATATATATTACATTTCTCTATGGGATATCATTTTCAAAAAAAAACTATGCAACAGCTGGTATTACTTTAATTCAGTTAACAGTGACCTGAGCTTACTCATAATTATGATAGAGCTCCTCGTAAAAGCTTTTAAAAAATCTATTTCATAATCTGTTTTGACTTATTCAAACGACAAGAAATCAGTCATTTCTATCTGCTACAAAAAACCTAATCAGAGCATCCCTTCTCTGAAAGATTAATAATTTGACACATACAGAAGTGAACATACATGTACAGACAAGATAATACAATCACTGACACGCTGGTTTTACAGTAAAGCTATTTGCCCCTTTGTATAAAGGTATTAGTAGGGGTTTTACTTAAAAGTTGCTAGTAATGTAAAATAATAAATCGAATCACTATTTTAGTTAAGTAATTAGTAATGTGTAATTGATTTTTTTTGAGTAACTCACCCACCTCAGGATCTAAAACAGAAGACAACTCGGCAAACATGAAGCATGACTTCCAGCGCTGACAATCTGACAAAATAAAAAAAAAATAATTAGAGCTAAATTAAATATTCCTGCTTCAAGGTTTCTTCCCCTGTTTTCAACAGAAGAAAATAAAGAGAAACTACAGACAGAAAAAGTGATGGGTAAATGACATCCCTGCCACACATCGATACACAATTCAGCTACATTAGTATATGACTGAAACCAAAACTACAATTTGTAGTACACAATTAAAAGTAAATTATAACAACAATTTAAAAAATCACTAACAAATCTAATCATGGTTCAACAAAAATAGGGGTGTAAGTTACATTGGAAGATTTTAAAATAAGCGCACAGACAACTTGCACTGTTTGAAAGAAAAGGTTGTGTGCCAGCGTTAAACGGCATTGACTCCTGAGGTTCCCGACTACGCCTCTTCTACGCTTAAGACTTAAATAGCCAATAATAATTTAGAAAGAAATTTAAAAGCCAATCTAAGCTAAAACTTTAATTTGACTGATTTTCAATTGGGTGGGCACTGCCCACCCTTGCCCAGACGTAGCCACGCCTCTGGAGCAAACATCTTAAGACCAAGTCTTGGGGGAGTCATTGGCATATTCAGTACTGAGACCAAACAATAAAGATCTGAAGTTCTCGGAGTCTCTCAGCATCAGAATCATGGACAACTCCTCAAAGTGCTGCGCTTTCGAAGCACCCATCTTGGATGAAGTCCTACCTCCGATACTATTCGTCGAATTCATTTTAGGCCTTATGGGGAACGTCCTCGCCCTCTCTATGTTCTTCTTCCACAGGGACACCTGGAAGCCCAATTCTGTTTATCTTGCCCATCTCGCTGTGGCAGATTCGGTGGTCCTTTTCTGCCTTCCTTTCAGGGCCGACTACTACCGCAGGGGCAAGGACTGGGTCTACGGAGATGCTTTCTGCCGTATTTTGCTCTTTCTTTTGGCCGCCAACAGAGCTGCAGGTATATTCTTCCTCACTGCTGTCGCCGTGGACCGATACCTGAAGATCGTCCACCCTCTCAACCGCATCAACCGAATGGGTTTGACCTACGCACTGTGGGTCTCTGTTGGCCTGTGGGGTCTGATCATAGCCATGACTGTCTACCTCCTAACAGACAAGCATTTCTACTATCGAAATAACCGCACACAATGTGAGAGCTTCAACATATGTTTAGGTCACAATGCATTGTCTGACTGGCACAATTCATTCTATGTTATCCAGTTCTTTGTACCCACCGGCATTGTTATCTATTGCACGGCTTGTATTACGTGGCAGCTGAAGAGTAAGACAGTGGACACACAGGGCAAAATCAAAAGAGCCGTGCAGTTTATATTAGCAGTCGCTCTAGTTTTCATTATATGTTTCTTTCCGAGCAATGTCTCCCGTATCGCCGTCTGGGTGTTGAAGAGCTGGTATAGTGAGTGCCAGTATTTCCGTGATGCAAATGTGGCTTTCTACACGACAGTCTGCTTTACCTACTTCAACAGCGTGCTCAATCCCATCGTCTACTATTTCTCCAGCCCAGCGTTCAGTGGATCCCTCAAGAAAGTCTACATGAAACTTCTAGGAAAGAAAATGGACGATGAGGAGGACGATGAGAAGAACAACCGCAGTTCTGTTACAGTATCAGCTAATGTATCTTAAGTTAATATTCACTATGTAGTGTTGATATTATAAAGTCATACACTTTATAATTCATAATAATATTTATTCAGATGTCAACGATAGCTGTTAATGTATATTCATGTAGCCTAATCATCGATTTGTGACCTTCATAAACATTTAATATGCCCTTGACATTAGTCTGTTAATATAAATTAATTACCTACACAAAGGACTTCACTAATACTTTAATAAATGTCTTCAACAGTCCTCTTGCTTTGTTTGATTATTTAATTGTAAAAATAGAAATAGTCAAATTAACACTATATGGAAATATTCAATGTTTTAGATATGAACAAAGTTTTTTTCTTAAATGTGACTATAATTTCTATAACTGTTTGACTCTATGTTGTTGTCATATTGTGCTGTATTTTCCTGATTTAAAAAAAAACTTTAAAAATTATTACTGCATATTTTCACTTATTGAATATTTAACATGCATATTTTTACTTAATACTTATTAAATTAGGACTGAAATTTTTTTTTACATCCTTTCTTTTTTAAAGCAAACATAAGCTATTCAATTTACAATAGCTCAGGCAAGTCTTTGTTTTGGAGTATATTAAATCATGAATATTGCTAATTATTTTTATATTATTAGAATATTGCATTATAGTATTATTAATATTGATATTTATTCTATTGTATTATTAACTACATTTAATATTGTTAAACGTTACTGTTAATATAAATAATTATTGTTATGATTGTATTAAGTCATGTAGGCTATATAAAATTCCTAATAATATTGATTTTAATATTGAAATCATAACATGCCGATATAAAATCACGTTTTCATTCAATGTTTCATAAACGTACTGTCTTATTGTCAAAAGGAGCTACCAAATGACAAACCCGCACATTAAAAACAACCATCGCAAGATTCCGTAAATTACTGCACGCTAATTACGCGAAGGATAAAACACGCCAAACGAACAAAAGAGCGCACACACTCGGGTCTCGCAGCACTACGCTCGCTGTGTATTTGGCGCAGGCGCGCTGTATATGCGGTGTGTGTGCGCATTGTGTGTGTGAGAGAACTGCCGGCGAGCTTAAAAATATTACCGAGCGGCGGGAATGTCTGGCAGGTCAGTGCGCGCCGAGACCCGGAGCAGAGCCAAAGATGACATCAAACGCGTTATGGCCGCTATTGATAAAGTACGAAAATGGTAAGATCGCGGGGAAAAAGCCCTGTGTTTGTTCCACTGGAGAGAAAAAATGCGATTGTGGGGGAGGAGAGAGAAAGAACAAACGAGAAGGACAGAGAGTGAAATTATAAGGGTCATTTTTGAGAAGTGAACTCGAGCGCACGCCAGGTGCTGTGCGCTCACCCGACACCATGCACTAAAAAATGAATGTTTTGGAGGGATTTCATTGGTTTCTGATGGAGATGAAGTGGGTTGAACCCAGAAGCCATTTCGTTGCAGTCACATGAAGCCATTTCTCGCTGCAGTTTGGCGCACTGTGATGTGTAACATCTGTGTTCTGGGGATGAAAGGCTGGGTAAACTCACCTGTGCGCGCGGGAGTCACAGTCGCTGTAACACACACAGAGAGAGTTGAAATGCAGCTCAGTCTCTTTACATCAAATAAAGCTGAACACAAGGAGCGCTGTGGGGGCTGGGACAGGGAAGTGAGCGACTGACTGCATGCCTGATTAACAACATTAAAGCAACATTTCAAAGATGTGGCTTTTAGACAAAGGATGTTATCTTTAGACACTATATAGAAAAATAATTTGGAGTGCAGGTTTTTGATATTATGAAGCACAACATTTTACCTAGCTTTTCTTGTAACCACAGGCATTTTTGCTTGCATATTATTTTTGGTTCAATCTCTTTTTTTATTTATAGGATATGACTTTTTAAAAAGTCATATCCTATAAATAAATTAAAAAGAGCATATGACTTTTTAATATGCTCATTTTTTATAGAATATCTCACATTAGATATATTATTTGTATTGCATATGGCTCCTATTGCTGTTATTATAAAAGTACTGCAGATAAATAGATCAGGTTCATTTAAGTGCATTTTATTTTATGTAAACACAAAATCAGTAATGGCCTATTTACTTTTTAAATACTCATTCGTATTGTGCACAATTCATCAGTGTGTATTAATTACTGCAATAAATATATATGGCTTTTCAAATCAGAATGTGATTTCCTTTTAAACAATCATAGGCCGCGTAAGCTATTTTAACCAGTAACCAAATAGCTATTTAGGCATTGAAGTACTTCTTTTTGGGCTACAGATCTTTGTTTTAACAATTCGCAGGGAGAAAAAATGGGTGACGGTTGGAGACACTTCACTGCGTATCTTCAAATGGGTTCCAGTGACTGAACCAAAGTCAGACGATGTAAGTGTTAAGGTGTGCAACATCTGTGCATGCTTTTCTCTTTTTATGAAGTTGTAGTTCATTAATATTCTGTCTGACTTCTGAACAGAAGAACAAAAAAAAGAAGGGCAGAGAGGAGAAATATGGATCAGAGTTGACGACTCCGGAGAACAGTTCCTCTCCAGGAATGATGGACATGCACGGTCAGTCTCATAACCATGCCAAGATTCTAAGGCTGTGCATAATGTAATTTGACAGTATTGACCCTTAAATGACAAGCTGTGGTTTCCCTTATAGACGAGAACAGTAATCAGAGCTCAATAGCTGATTCCTCTCCAGTGAAGATGGAGAACAGCTGTAGCACGAGCCCGACACCAGAGGCCACTGCTGCTGCTCACGATGATGGAAACAAGTGCAAGGCAGAACATACGCCGTCCCCTGACAAAGGTACGAAAAACCACTCTGATCACATGAATAAAACTCATGTTTACACAAAAGGAATAGTTCACCCTAAAATAAAAAGTTGCTGAAAATGTACTCACTCTCATGTCATCCAAGATTTAAATCTGTGTTTCCTCGTGGTAACAGATTTAGAGAAATTCAGCACATCACTTGCTCACCAATGGATGCTCTGCAGTGAATGGGTGCCGTCAGAATGAGAGTCCAAACAGCTGATAAAAAACATCACAAAAATCCACACTAATCCACTCCATCCATTAATGTCTTGTGAAGTGAAAAGCTGCATGTTTATAAGAACTAAATCCATCATGAATGCATTTTAACTTCAAACTGTTGCTTCTGGCCAAAATACACGTTCTCTATCCATAATATGATTTCTCCAGTGAAAAAGTCCATCTCCTGTTGTCCTCTCACATCAAAATCCACCCACAAATTTGTTTAGAACAGTTTTTCTCTTGTAAACAGTGCTTGATTTGTGCATATTTCTCTCCTAATTCAGACCAGATTCTCCACTCCATCCATTAATGTCTTGTGAAGTGAAAAGCTGCATGTTTATAAGAACTAAATCCATCATATATACAAATACAAGTTCTCTATCCATAATATGATTTCTCCAGTGAAAAAGTCCATCTCCTGTTGTCCTCTCACATCAAAATCCACCCACAAATTTGTTTAGAACAGTTTTTCTCTTGTAAACAGTGCTTGATTTGTGCATATTTCTCTCCTAATTCAGACCAGATTACTTTTTCACTGGATAAGGCAATTATTATGGATATTTAACAGAATCTTAATGATGGATTTGTTTCTTACAAACACACAGCTTTTCACTTAACAAGATGTTAATTGATGCACTGGAGTGGTGTGGATTATTGTGATGTTTTTATCAGCTGTTTGGACTCTCATTCTGACGGCACCCATTCACTGCAGAGGATCCATTGGTGAGCAAATGATACAATGCTAAATTTCTCCAAATCTGTTGCGACGAAGAAACAAACTCATCTACATCTCGGATGGCCTGAGGGTGAGTACAGTTTCATAGAGACGGTATTAAAAACATTGCATCCAAGATCTGAAAGAAATGTGATGCATCACAATTGGATGAATCACAGTGTGGTTGAATTTTTACAGGGAATAGTAACTCCACCCCTTCAGAGACCTCAACAAGCAAAAAAGATACTCCGTTATCAGGGGAGAAGGAGTCCCCATCAGGCACCTCGACAAACACTCAGGTAAAAACATCACTTACCGTCAAGTCAGAAGAAAATAATCAAGGCTGGGAATGACTTGAGGGTGAGAAAACGTTTTGCTTTTTGTGTTTTGTTAGGAAAGTGAAGATGGTTCCCCACCCACAAAGAAAAGTAAAGTGGAATCATCTTCTCAGGACTTGGATAACTAAAGCTGACTAGTTTGCTCCCACGTTTCAAAAATCACAGTGTGGTTGAATCTTTACAGGGAATAGTAACTCCACTCCTTCAGAGACCTCAACAAGCAAAAAAGATACTCCGTTATCAGGGGAGAAGGAGTCCCCATCAGGCACCTCGACAAACACTCAGGTAAAAACATCACTTACCGTCAAGTCAGAAGAAAATAATCAAGGCTGGGAATGACTTGAGGGTGAGAAAACGTTTTGCTTTTTGTGTTTTGTTAGGAAAGTGAAGATGGTTCCCCACCCACAAAGAAAAGTAAAGTGGAATCATCTTCTCAGGACTTGGATAACTAAAGCTGACTAGTTTGCTCCCACGTTTCAAACACGTCACAAACGTAACAAACCAATGAGGAAACCCGACCCACTTGACAAACCATTCCTGATCTTCAAATACAGCTTCACCTTCTTCTTCATCTTCTCACCTGGAGCGAACGTTTGCAGACGTCACTGTGCCAGTGAACCGAGGTTGATGGCAAACACTGACCTGATCCTGTGAGAAACCTGCAGCCTCGCTCCATCCAATTCATGCACGATATACAGCGTTAGTTTAACAGTAACGAGAGTGAATGCACTGCATAGATTTGTCAAGATAAAAGATGGATTTGCTGCTGTGATCATCTTTGTTTTCAAAATTTTTATTATTTAATTTAATGACTCTACTAGTTGTTTTCTAACTATTTTGCAGATTGTTGTATGGTTATAGTGCAGGTGTTTGGTTTGTTTATAGATTCTCTACTGGTTTGTGTGCTTTTTTTTCCTTTTGTTTTTGAAGCTTTTCAAAGCATCACTGCTTTTTAAAGGGAGGAAGAATTTTTTTGTTACACGTCAAAATGACTTGATATATACCTCATTTCCAAACCAGCTGAGCTGGAACTTAATTCTTGATTGATGGACAATAAATCCAATTCACTGAACACAATCTGGCAGTTTTTAAATGATGTAATTTTCAACATTAAATCCACTCTGACTTCAATCTGATGTAGCAACGTACAAAGATCTCACAATGAAATACTCTATACATTGGGACCATGTTTTCTTGAAATGTTTTTGTCTTGTACAGTTGATTTATTTCATCATTAGTGCTTGTTTCTAGCATATTCAATTTGTTTTAATAAAAAATGTTAACTGAGTTGGTTATGACTAGCCTATTTCTTTTACCTTCATGCCTCTTTTGATCTAAGTATTTAGAGCATTTTTTAGCATTTAAAGATTAGGTAACACAGCTAAACGTTTAGTTTTGAAAAGGCTAAGAATGCTTTCATATTTATTATATACCACAGACGTATTTTTCATATGTTTACATAAAAGTTATGCGTTGTTAACACGCCCCCTAGCGACACTTTATCGCATTACCGAGCGCAAACTAATACATACCGGTACATATTGTGCAGAAATGTTTTTGATACGGACATAATTTAAAGCGTTCACCAAAAACATGGGTATTAGAAAGCGAAAGAGAGGGGTAGATCAAATATAAGACTTTTTTCACCACAACTAACAATCCAAATTACATCGAGGCTGTATATGATCCTTAATCAACATTTACCTGATTTTACCTGCAGTTAACCTACACCTAAACGTTATAACGTTTAGAACAGTACTCTCATATGTTTTTCGTGAACTTTTCAAGAGTTAGTTGATGTCATTCGTGTTAAGTATCTTACCTCAGCTCTGGCGTCCTGTCAAGCTGCGCGCGCTTTTCAGCCTCTTCAACGGGTTTTTTTATTTTTATAGTCTCGCGAGCTCGTTCAACAGCTCTCATTCACAAAATCAAATGAGAATTATAATTTATTTGATAAACGTTTGGCAGACGTGGTCAATTCCCCATATATATATAGGTGCATCTCAAAAAATTTGAATATCGTGAAACAGTTCTTTTAAAAAAAAAAAAATTATTTAACTTATTTCAAAAAGTGAAACTTTCATACTAGATTCATTACATGTAAAGTAAGGTTTTTTTTTGTTTGTTTTAATTTTGAGAATTAGAGCTTACAGCTCATGAAAGTCAAAAATCCAGTATTCTCAAAATATTAGAATATTTACATTTGAGTTTCATTAAATGACAGTATAAATTCCGGGTATCTCTTGTTCTTTGAAACCACAATAATGGGGAAGACTGCTGACTTGGCAATGGTCCAGAAAACAATCATTGACACCCTCCACAAAGAGGGTAAGTCACAGAAGGTCTTTACTGAAAGAGCAGCTGTTCACAGAGTGCTGTATCAAAGCATATTAAATGCAAAGTTTACTGGAAGGAAGAAATTGGGTAGGAAAAGGAGCACAAGCAACAGGAATAACCGCAAGCTTGAGAATACTGTCAAGCAAAGCCGATTCAAACACTTGGGAGAGCTTCACAAGGAGTGGACTGAAGCTGGAGTCAGTGCATCAAGAGTCAACACGCTCAGACGTCTTCAGGAAAAGGGCTACCAAGCCACTTCTGAAACTTCAGAAGCATCTTACCTGGGCTAAGGAGAAAAAGAACCGGACTGTTGCTCAGTGGTCCAAAGTCCTCTTTTCAAATAAAAGTAAATTTTGCATTTCATTTGGAAATCAAGGTCTGGAGGAAGACTGGAGAGGCACAGAATCCAAGCTGCTTAAGTCCAGTGTGAAGTTTCTGAAGTCAGTGATGATTTGGGGTGCCGTGACGTCTGCTGGTGTTAGTCCATTGTGTTTTATCAAGTCCAAAGTCAATGCAGTGAGATTTTGGAGCACTTTATGCTTTCATCTGCTGACAAGCTTTATGGAGATGCTGATTTCCTTTTCCAGCAGGACTTAGCACCTGCCCACAGTGTCAAAACCACTTCCAAGTGCTTTGCTGACCATGAAATTACTGTGCTTGATTGGCCAGCCAACATGCCTGACCGGAACCCCATATGGAATCTATGGGATATTTTCAATAGAAAGATGAGAAACAGTCGATCCAACAATACAGATACAATACAGGCTCAATAGTCCTCAGCAGTAACACAGGCTGATCGCTTCCATGCCACACCTCACTGATGCTTGAATATGTGCTAAAGGAGCCCCGACCAAGTATTGAGTGCATAAATGAACATACTTTAAAGAACTTGAACTTTTCTGTTTTGCAAATCCTTTTTTTTTATTGATCTTAGGAAATATTCTAATATTTTGAGATACTGGATTTTTGACTTTCATGAGCTGTAAGCTCTAATCGTCAAAATTAAAACTAAAAAACTTTTGAAATGTTTTACTTTACATGTAATGAATCTAGAATATATGAAAGTCAAAAAACAATGTCACTTGTATTTTGGCCATAAACATACACTTCTAATTAGCAAACACCACTAATTTTCCTAATTAGGTTAACAAAAAGAATATAATTTACATCAAAGATGCTATTTTCGTTATTTTATGTGGGGTTCAGTATTGTCTTATCAGGCTGCATTTTTAAGGGACATGAATTATTGACCAGGCCCCTTCTGTTCTATTTAGGAGCTGTAGGACATTGTGATGGGATCTGTTGACCATCCTTGCGTGAAATTGAGAGACTATGAGAGCGGCGTTTCAAACTTTGGCTGCAAGCACAGTTATAAAACTTTGAGATGTAAATTTAGATGAAAGATCAAGACTGAAAATCATTCAATGATGAATAGGTGAAGTGGTTTTATTTATTTATTATGTAATAATTTTATACAATGTATGGATCACACCACTGACTTAAATACTGAATCTAAAGTGTGTCTAGAATTGTCCTTATGACGTTCATGAAATGAACCAAAACCATGGTCAGAATCATTGTGTATTCAGAAAGCGCAATATAGTCAGACAGAATATAAAGACACAAGAAAAATCTTTGAATGTTTGTATTGAGTTCAAGTGAATATACAGTACATGAAACGGTACAATAGTTAAAGACTGTCACAATATTTCAGTAGAAACAGACCATATATTTGCAATTAATGCAACATTTTCTGATCAAATTCATATAAACCAAAGGGGAATAATCATGAATATTATACATATTTAATATAATCTAGTGCACCATTTCATTGCGGGTTACCAATTCTAACACTTGCAGTTTATTAGGTTGCTAAATAAACTGTTAATATTACATCAATAATAAGAGATACAATATGATCTTGTGCTTAAAAATTGTGCTTTAGTAAAGATCTGTTCACACCAAGTTTGAGGTGACTAAAATATACGGAATTATAAAATATTTGGAAGCCATTTTTTGCACCAAAACTTTTTTGATGCAGAATTGTCTTCATTCTCTGAAAAAAAGTCTGGATACCTGAAGTAACTGTTCGGCATTTTAAATAAATCAATTTTGAATCCGTACACAAAAAAAGGTTTGATCTTCAAATCTTGCCGTGCATTTATTTTATGCCCAAAAAATTGGACTTGGTGTGAATAGGCCTGAAATCTACAGGACATACCATCAAAATACACATAAAAATCCATTCATATGACATTATTATAACTATATGTCTGATGTTTAACAGTAAAAATAACTTAGTTCCAAACAATGGCAGTTAAATTCATGTGCTGTATACATTTAAAGTGAGAAGTGCAATAAGTTAATAGTGGTTAGCTTCAGCTTTGTTTGGTGCACTTGTTGTAATTACTTGGTGTAATTTTGTTTCATTAAAATAACTTCATTAAAATCTTCTATCCTGGTTTAATATGCAGAGACCACTGTAAGTAAACCATTCGTAGGGCGTATTACTGAATAGTGCAACAACTGTGGCGGTGTTCGGAATAGCATACTACATACTACAGTATGTATACTGTGCATAGTATGTATAATTTCTGTATGCATAGTATACCTGGGTGAAAATGTGCAGTATACAATCAGATCCCATAATGCAATGTGCTCGACACGAGTCGATTCAACATGAGTAACGAATAAGCTGAAATTAAAATCCACTATAATTTTTAACAAAATTTAGCTTAATTTTTATTGTTGCATAATGCGTACCATTTCACATGCCATCTAAAAAATAGTGGGCAGTATTCAGTGTATACTGACTAGTGTGCAGTATACCAATTCGAACACTGGCTACAGCTTTGTGGAGCTTTCAAAAGATTATTGTTTATTTGAGCGCCCTGAAATGTCAGCTTCTGACTCAACCAATGGGTTGACTTTGGGGTGGAGCTACAATAGTAGAGAGAGGAAAACCTGTTTGGAAACAGTCATTATTTTTGCAATTCCATTTTGTGCCAATAGAAATTACACACAGCAGCTTTAAATACACTGCAAAGTATCGCTAAACCGTTCCCAATTTTCTTGCTGGTAATTCATCATTAGATAAATCAACATAGGACAGTGAAAAACGTCCGAAACACACAAAACGGTGTTGATAACACAGAAATATATCTCGCCTTCATAACATTAAATTTCCATAAATGCAGCATACCTTAGACTTCATTTGGGCGGATTCATTTAGGGAATGTACAAGAGGTTCGAATGTATATATGCTGTGTACAAAAATAGCGTATAATCTGGTTGAAAGCGAACTGTGCATAGCCTGCTCATAGGCTGAGGGGTTGAGGGGAAGTTCAGAAGGTTTGGTCATCGTTGCAAGAGTCTGTCCAGTGACCGAACGCTTCACAGATGTCGCAGTATGGTCGTTCACCGCTGCGGCTCCCGTGGTATGTGGTGTGTGGAGGCGAGTCTGGGGATTGCGTTTGAGTGGGACAGTCTTCCGTGTCGTGCAGGTCAAAGCAGTCACAGATGTCGCAGAAAACGCGTCGTGGGGCTTTCTTCTTCTTTTTGACCTCACCAAGACTTGAGAGACAGAGGATAAAATTTTTTTATTTTTCGTAAACCCTGTGCGAAGAATAATAATAGCTACGAAGATGCAAGTAGTGTAATGCTTGTCAAGTATGTACAACATGACCATGTGCCAGGGTTATTACAGTTAACAGAAACAAACAAACAAAACAAAATTGGCTAGAAATAAAATAAATGTTAACTGAAATATTTTTATATTTAAATATTAAAAAATAAGTGCAACATAAGTTGTACTTAAGAAACATTTTTCATTTTCATTTAGTTTAACTTGATGTACTAAAACTGAAATAAAAATTTATAAAAACTATAGAC